ATTTTAACTGGAGTTGTGGTCTCAGGGTTGTGGGATCAAACCCTACATGGGCTCTGTGCCCAGGGCAGGATCTCCTTGTTATTCTTTCCCTCCTCCTTGCCATAACCCTCAGCCCCTCCCTCCTCTTGCAAGAGCTCCCTTTCTCTAAAATAAATAAATGAATAACATCTTTTAAAAAAGGAAGGAAAAAAGAAAACTCCAGACCCAGATGACATCACTGTGAATTCTACCATATATTTAAGTAAAAAATACCAATTCCATAAAAACTCTTCTCAAAAGTTCTACACAAGTTCTTCCAGAAACACTTTCCAATTCACTCTATCAGGCCCAGCATCACCTTGATATCAAAACCAGAAAAAGACACTGTGTTACGTGAGAAAAAAGACGAGTATCTCCCATGAACGCAGACTAAAAATTACTTAGCAAAATTTCAGCAAATAGTCCAGCAATAAACAGACAGACTAACACATCATGATGGTGGCAAAAAGGGATTATCTCAGGCATACAAAATTGGTTCAGCATTCAAGAAAGCAATAAATAGGGGCATCTGGGTGGCTCAGTGGATTAAGCCTCTGCCTTCAGCTCAGGTCATGATATCAGGGACCTGAGACCGAGCCCCACATCGGGCTCTCCACTCAGCGGGGAGCCTGCTTTCCCCTCTCTCTATGTCTGCGTCTCTGCCTACTTGTGATCTATCTCTCTGTCAAATAAATAAATAAAATCTTTTTTAAAAAAAGGCAATAAATATAATTCACTATACTGAATTAAAGAAGAAAAACCAATCATTTTAATAGATACAGAAAGAGCATTTCACAAAATTCAACATCCATTTAGGATAAAAGCACTCCACAAATTAGGAATACAAGTGTCCTCAACTTGATAAGAGACATCTACCAAAAAAACTACCAGGAACCAGCATAATGACAAAAGACTGAATGTTTCTCTCCCAAAATCAAGAAGTATGCAAGGATGTATACTCTGGCATTCTTACTGAATACTGGCAATTCTCACCCATGCAATAAGGCAAGAAAAAGGAAAACAAACAAGCAAAAACATACATACAGAGAAGGAAGGGGGGAAAAAAAGTATCTGCATGACTCCTCATTACATGTTGCTAAATTTGAATCTTTTCTTTAATTATAAACGATCTTAAGCAAACAGAAGAACATCGAGAACAATAAAAAAAACCCACCTATTATCTTGATTTAACACAGGTCAACATTTACTTTAGATCTTTAATTCTTAAAAACGGTCTTTTAGAAGATTTTCAGAAGATGGTAGCAGTGAGTACAGTTTTTCAATCTTATTAAATCTCTATCCCGACCCTGCACAAAAAAATTAGCTACACAAACTAAGATAGCAAAGCGAAAACCTAAGGGTGATACCTATAACACTAGGTAATAAGGTAGAGTGATGAAACAAAAAATATAACTGGGTAGGGTTGACATACAGTGTAGGACATCATCATCTCTGAAGGAAGAAGCAGAAGGAACCATAGACCATTTGCCAAACTCCCAAAAGAACCACCAGGAACTCACTACAATAAGCTCAGAGGGCCAATTTGAGCAGCTGAGACCAGGAGTTCTGCCACTTAAATCCTTAAAAAAATTTTCCAAACTAGCCATTTAAAACTGACTTTCAGGACAAAGTCTCACACAAAGAAATCTGTGGTAATTAGAACCCAAACTGACTAACACAGAACTATAAAGAAAACAGAGGTGAAGAATCCAGATAAAAACAAGGAAGGGGAATAGAATCCAATCGCTTCAATAAACTGCCATATTTTTTGGCACTTCACAAAAACAACGAAGAGGGAGCTCTAGAGCCATGACATTAGAAAAGCTTTTCTGGGGGGTCCCTGGGTGGCTCAGTCCTTAAGCCTCTGCCTTTGGCTCAGGTTGGGATGGAGCCCCATATCAGGGTCCCTGCTTAGCAGGAAGCCTGCTTCTCTCTCTCTCTCCCACTCCCCCTGCTTGTATTCCTTCTCTTGCTGTCTCTCTCTCTGTGTCAAACAACAAAATCTTTAAAAAAAAAAGAAAAGAAAAGAAAAAGAATAAAAGAAACACTTTTCTGAACCAGAATCCTTCAAGAAAACTAATTTCATGTAAAAATGAAAAGAAAAGGGGGCACCTGGTTGGCTCAGCTGGTTGTCTGACTTTGGCTTGGGTCATGATCTCAGGGTCCTGGGACTGAACTACAATGCTGGGCTCTGCAGGCAATCTGCTTGTCCCTCTCCCTCTTGCTCTGTCCCTCCCTCCCCCTGCTTGTGCTCTCTAAAATAAATAAACAAAAATATTTAAAAAAAAAATGAACAGAATACCATGATCAAATACCATACAAAAATTCTATCAAGAAAAAAGAGCAGAATCACATCCCTACAGATAATGAAAACACACAAGAAAGACATGTCCACAAAACAGATGAAAACTATAACCTGTTATTTCATAACATGGTAAAGAAAGTATTAAAATAATAAAAGATACAAAAAAAACCACTTAATATAATCAGAAAAACTCAGAAATGAGGGCTAGAACATAAAAGGAATTAGATATAAATGAAAAAATAATTTTAAAAATACTAAACTCAAAGTAGGAGAAGAGAATGTAAAGAGAATTTTTTTAAATCATAAAGAAATGAAGCAATAAATAGGTCTTCAGAACAAGTGACAGTCAAGGAAGACAAACTCCAACATGCACACAACAGCATCTGGGCAGTAGGAAACAAAAGGGAACAGGATAAACACTAAAAACCAATTCAATGTTCCTAGAATACAAAAGATCTGGAAGACCACGTCGTCTGAGAAAATTAACCCAGGATGACCAACGCTAAGACATATATTCTGGTTAAAACTGCTCGCCTCTAAAGAAAAAAAAAGTACTCTGAACATCCAGCAAAAGAGACCAAGTCACTTAAGTGGAAAGACTATCTTCAATTTTAACAGCAGTGCTTTGAGGCTGAAGAAAATCATTTAAGATTCATAAAATCGAAAATATGAGTCTAGGGTCTAACTAACCAAACCAAATTAATACTGCCATATAAAGGCCAGCATGCAAGAACTCAAAGTATTGTTTCCACAAGCATTTTCTGAGAAGGCTACTAGAGAAGGCACTTAAGACAACCAAAATGACTAGGAGTACACTGATACGAAGGCAATGGTGAGCATTAAATATATATTTGTTACAGAATTAAGTTACTAATTATAATACTAAATGAGTGTTGTAAGAGGGAAATGATATCATGTCACGGTTATATGCTGACAACACAGAATGGAACTATTTTCAATCATGAAGAGGGAACATAATATTGGTAGGGTATCGCTATTGTGTGTGATACATGGGAAAAACAAATGAGTGATCATGTAATATTCTGGTTTTGTTATTCCTGTTGTCCTTAAAAACCAGAATTTTTGTTGTGGAAGAGAGGAAAATAAGGGTTAGAGGAGATCAGGTAAAAACCCCTTAGTACTGAATTTTAAATAGAATTATAATTCCACTATATACTTAAAATTCCAACATTCAACAGTATGCCATATAATTCATAAGGTAATAATATATTTCCTACCTCTATCCACTAAAAAGGCCTAGAAAGAATGACTAATCCAGCTCACTGCTACTGTACCCAGCAATGTACCCACTGCTATAATACCTAGACTAATTTCCATTTCCCACAAAAAGAAATTAAAGATTTCTTTTTGAAATGGCCAATTCCAGACCTGGGGCAGGAAATATACTCAGGGAGCCTAGAACATCTCCTTGTAGGGGATGGCATGGAAAGTCAAAGACTACTAGGCTCAGGGGTCAACCTGAAGGGACTTCCACCAGTCAGAAAGGTTAACTGCAATGTTATGAAACTCATTAAATATACTGAAATCTATGAAATAATACCAAAATATAACAGTTGGTCATCTTAGAAACAATGACAGGAAACCAACTTATTTTGAAAAGGTTTACTTTTCCCATATAAACCATACCACTGGGTAACCAAAAATAGTTGAGAGAAAGCTCCTTTTCTTGTGTGCAAGCCTGAGTTTTTTTTTTAAAGATTTTATTTATTTATTTGAGAAAGAGAGGGAAAGCGAGAGAGAGAGAGAAAAGAGTGCATGCACACTAGCGGGGGGGTGGGGGAGGCAGGTGCAACGGGAGAGGGAGAAAGAGACTCAGGTTGCTCAGACAATGGACAATGCAGAGGTCTATCCCAGGACCCTGGGATCATGACTTGAGCTGAAGGCAGACGCTTAACCAACTGACCCACACAGCTGCCCCAAGCCTGATTTCAATAGATGACAATGAGGAAACTGCTCCGCAACGTGTGAAACTCCAACCCAGAAACAGATCATCTACAAATAATTTAGCAAGACATTCCCCTCAAACATGCAATGACTGATGGGGAAGAGGGTGGCCCCTTTCCAGCCATGCCCCATTTCCAGGGAAGTTGCTCTTTACAGAAATAGTCTAGTTAATAAATACAAAGGAGGAATGATGGTATTAAAATATCTCCATCTTGGAATCTTTATTAAATTAATGGACCTCCATCTTGAGAATCAATAGCTGCTAACAAGGCAAAAAGGAACCGCCAGACTATGTACCCACTGTCAGAACACAGAACCGCCTACAGAGAGTAGGCTTTGCCAGAAAGCTGAATCCAAACACAGTCAAGCATCTAGATCCAACTACCAACTTGCTATAAACTTGGAAGACCAAAGAACAAGGATAGGAGTACCATGGAGATGGAATCAGCAAAATTCAGGCTGTAGCAAATTCTGCAGGTCAACAAACCCATTTTTTTTAAGAGTTTATCTATTTATTTGTCATAGAGAGAGAGAGAACAATTAGGGGGAGCAGCAAGCAAAGGGAGAAGCAGGCTCCCCGCTGAGCAAAGAGCCCCATGCAGGACTTGATCCCAGGACCCAAAGGCAGACACTTAATGGACTGAGCCACCCAGGCATCCCTCTTTATTTTTTTTGAAGACTTATTTATTTATTTGAGACAGAGGGAGAGACAGCGCGCAAGCACAAGCACGGGGAGGGGCAGAGGGAGAGAGAGAGAGACCCAAGCAGTCTCCTCTCCTCACTGAGCAAGGAGCCTGATGGCAGGCTCCATCTCTCAATTCTGAGATCATGACCTAAGCCGAAATCAAGAGTTGGTTGCTCAACTGACCTAGCCACCCAGGCACCCCTCCTCCTTACACTTTGAGTTTAAAGAAAATGGTTTTGGGGAGCCTGGGTGGTTTGCTCAGTTGGGCGTCTGACTCTTGGTTTCGGCTCAGGTCATGATCTCCCAGTCATGAGACTCAGCCTTGCATCAGGCTCTGAGCTCAGGGAGAAGTCTGCTTGATATTCTCTCCCTTTCCCTTTCCCCCTTCCCAAAATGGGCACCCGCTCCTCTCTAAAAATAAACCTTAAAAAGAGAGAGAAAGGGGTAAATTGTAGCCTGAAAAAGGTTAAAGAAAAAGTACTAAAAATAGATGAAAACTAAACCCTAGTATTTCGGGATGACCATTTGGGCAATGAAACCATGAAGAAGAGCAAGGCAGTGGTTACAAGTCAAGACAGAGGTTCCTGGGATGCCTGGCTGGCTCAGCTAGCGGAGAATGTAACTCTTGATCTCCAGGTTGTGAGATGGAACCCCACGTTGGGTGTAGCAAATACTTAAAAGTAAAATAAATAGATCTACGTATTGAGCATCAATGGCTACTAACAACACCTGGGTAGCTCAGTCCGTTAAGCATCTGGCTTCAGCTCAGATGTTGAGCTCAGCATCTTGGGATCGAGCCCTGCACTGTTGGCCTCCCTGCTCAGTGGGGAGTCTGCTGGTCCTTCTGCCTCTCCCTCTGCTTGTGCTCTATGAAATAAATTCTATTAAAAATTATTAAATAATTTTTTTAAACAAAATAAAACCTTTAAGAAAGATGGCATTTCCTTCTGAGAGGATGATAGGGGAGAGGCAATCAATCAATACCTTTAATTTCTTTCTTAACCCAGGTGGGAGCGGTAAAGGTATAACACCTGAATGCCACTTGTAAGCTGTATACCATTTGTTCTATGCCATCTATACATAGCTTACAACAAAAGTTGTACTACTTTGTTTTTAAATTTGTACTCTTAAGAAACATACTATTAGATATAATTAAAATTAATTAGATTTCTTCCTCTTTTTTTTTTAAATTTATTTAACAGACAGAGATCACAAGTAGGTAGAGAGGCAGGCAGAGACAGAAAGAGGGGAAGCAGGCTCCCTGCCGAGCAGAGAGCCTGACACAGGGCTCGATCCCAGGACCCTGGGATCATGACCTGAGCCGAAGGCAGAGGCTTCCACCCGCTTTCTAACCCCCAGATTTCTTTCTCTTTTTTGGTGTGGCATTATTGCAACAAAATTTCCTTTTCTCTAATTATAAGACAATATGCAAGTAAATACATTACATCACCCTTTTATCTAATACATATGAGACAGCACTAGAATCCATGAAGAATCCTGTGAAAATAAGAAAATCTGACTACGGTTTGACTTCAGAGTAAAACCTTAGCTAGTAAATGTCCATCACTCGCTGGACATTAACAATGCATCACTCTGATGGGTGTCGGTCAACTTCTGAGAATACCATGGAACTGACAGGTAAGTAGCCAACGCCTGGTGACCGAACAGAAAGCACTGGTGCACGCTGGCCCATCAGAAGCTGACTAGCCAAATACAGCTGTCAGGCATCGGTCCAGCACGCAGCACAAAGGTCAGAGTGGCTGACGCTCATGCTGCCCTGGGTTCACCCTGTCACGTTAACATTTACAAGTCCAACAGCCACAGCAACGCTCCTCCACCTCTGCATGCTAACCATTCTTTGCTCACGGTCACCCATCCAGTATTTCCCAATCGGCTTGCTTTTGGAATGTCTGTCTCTCACCCATTTACAAGCAGCAGTAAGGAGTGGCAGATAAGAAATGCTGGCCTGGCTGAAATAAGTTCAGGCAAACTGATGTGCTCTTCCACAAGCACTGTTTCTGAGTATTTTTAGTTCACAAAGGGTCTGTGAAGTCACACAAAAAGTCCATCAGCCTGAGAAAGAACAGTCCTATTGGCTCATAAAAAAGGGAGCCATCTAGGGATGCCTACAGTGGCTCAGTCGTTAAGCATCTGCTGTTGAGCGTCTGCCTTCAGATCAGGTCATGGTCCCAGGATCCTACAATGGAGCCCCACATAGGGCTCCCTGCTCAGCAGAGATCCTGCTTCTCCCTCTCTCTCCCACCCTCTGTGCATACACACACTCTCTCAAATAAATAAGTAAAACTTTAAGAAAAAATAAAAATAAATTTTAAAAAAGGGAGCCCTCTACCTTCAAGACATTTTCAGACTTACAGCCTTTCACTGTGACTAAAACATTAATTTTCAAAAAACTCAATTCTGTGTATCACAATGTACACCAATCAACTTCCCATAAGAACAGGAAATTTAGCCTACAAAATGACCGAATGGGTGCAGAGAGTCAGGAACTACTCACTCATGTTCAAGGCCGCCATCCCCCCTTGCGGAGCTGCGGGGTATACATTCGGTACGTTCGCGGTCATGAAATCTGCAATCTGCTGTAGCGCCAAAAGGCCTGTGGGGTTCTTCCCCTTCTTAAATTGTTCCTGTATCATTGATTCCAACTCTTCACAGAAAGCCTAGCAAAAGGCAAATGAGAACAGTGAGACACTATCTCTCTTCCATGCCTTGGGAAGGCAGAGGTAACTAACACACAGACTACCTTTTTGTTTCTTTTCATCCAGGGCTAGAAAAGTAAATGGATATTCTCATATATTACCACTTGGAGCATCAATTGCTACATTATTTCTAGAAAGTAATGTAAATAATACAAAAGCTTAAAAATCTTAACATTCTATCACTAATAATCTTTTTGAAAGAAATAATTAGGGATATACTCAAAGATGAATTCATATGGATGTTAGTTCCAGCAGGACTGACAAAAGAGAAGCAGGTAACAGTCGACATATGAAACAGTAGAAATATGAATACACACACAGTTCCACCTTATAATGGACATGGTCCATCTATGCACACGGTCAACATGAAAGGCTGAGCAAAATTAAATGACATAAAATTGCTCTTCATATATTTTTGATTGTGAAATGGTTGTAAAGCAACAGAATCTTTTTTTTTTTAAGAGTTTATTTATTTATTTGACAGACAGAGATCACAAGTAGGCAGAGAGGCAGGCAGAGAGAGGGAGAAGGCGGCTCTCCACGGAGCAGAGAGCCCGATGCAGGGCTTGATCCCAGGACCCCAGGATCATGACCTGAGCCGAAGGCAGAGGCTTTAACCCACTGAACCACCCACGCGCCCCAGAATCCGTGTTTTTAAGAGTGAATACGTATCTAAACATAGAACACTAAATACATCCAAATGTTTACTATAATGATCTCAGTGATGGAATTATTAGCAATTTTCATGTTCTACTTTGTGCTTCTCAGTATTTTCTTCAAAATAGTTTTTTCTCAAAATAGATTCTATTAATCACTTTTTAGAAGTTGAAAAAGAAATCCTAAAACATTCATCCTTTATCAAATAATCCTAAATTTTTAAAAAAGATCCTAAACTAGGTAAAAGGATTAAATTGGGTGGATGGTGACTTTAATATAAAGTCACTACTTTAACAATACAGGTTAATTTATAGCTTTGCTTTCCCAAACCGTGTTGAAATAATTTTTCACATATCCTACAAAGAAATATCTTATCAGAGGTGCCTGGATTAAGTGCCTGCCTTCGGCTTGGGTCATGATCCCAGGACCCTGGGATCGAGCCCCACATAAGGTGCTCTGCTCAGTGGGAAGCCTGTTTCTCCCTCTCCCACTCCCCCTGCTTGTGTTCCCTCTCTTGCAGTGTCTCTGTCAAATAAATAAAATCTTTAAAAAAAAAAAAAAGTATCTTATCAAATAAATACTAGTTAAAATGAAAATGTGAGCTTGGGATGCCTGGGTGGCTCAGTCAGTTAAGCGCCTGCCTTCAGCTCGGGTCATGGTCCTGGGATCGAGTCCCATGTCAGGTCCTTGCTCAGCGGGGAATCTCCTTCTCACTCTGCTTGCTGCTCCCCCTGCTTATGCTCTCTCTCTCACTGACAAATAAATTTTTAAAAATCTTTAAAAAAAAAAAAAAAAGAAAAGAAAAGAAAAGAAAATATGAGCTCACTGAACGAACACCCACATCTGATTACAAACACTCCAAGGGTTTCTGGATGATTCCATATTCAACTTCTAGTTTTTCATTGCTTGAATGAAAAGCTGAAAAGACATAATGCCCAGGGATAGTCCAAGTATAGCTATCATTAGCTTGCAGGAAGCAAGCAATACATGTATTACACTTAATACAATGGTATAAAAGAATATAAGGAACCAGGAGTGGCTAGAGGAACCCCTATTTACCAATGACAAATGATGTCATAGATCATATTCTGTGGGAGTCAAGGAAGGAAGGGAAAGCTGACAGGGCTTTGACTGAAAAGAAGAAATAAACAAAACACAGTTACTCAGCCATCTTTGGTATCAATGGCAAAGGCAACGATCTAGACAGATATGCAGACACAGGATAAAGGGATACAGACAGATCCAGAAGCCTCACTAAAGGTCACAGAGTATGCTGGGCACAGAGGACAACAGTTGCATAAAACAAGCTCCCTGCCCTCACAGGCCCTCAACCTGAAAAATCAAACCCTCTCTTTCCACCGTTTCCAAATCCACAGATGTATCTATGGGAAGCTCAGTTCAACACGCATGTACAATGTATGTACACGACACCACAATTCAGCCCACGTACACAGTGCAACACATGTTTAAGTCCCAGGTGCTGTTCTAGGCACTGAAGATATACAGCTAGAAAAAAATAGTCCTTGCCATTAAGGAACCTAAAGCTTAGCATATAACACACAAAAAGAAAACCACAGTGTAAGAAGCCCTCAGTATCCACAGCCGCCCTGATGCCCTACATGTGCGGTAAGGAGCTGAGCACAGCAGAGGCCGATGAGGGCCTGGAGCCACCCAGCCAGATCCCAGAGTCTACTCCAGCCAGCACTCACGGCCAGTGACCTTGTGTGCTTCGTTGGTCCTAAATACTGGTGGTTCAACATCCACACCCTCACCTCTCAGCAAACGGCCCGCCTCTCCTCTAGTGACCCTGTCATCCAATCACCCAGGCCTCCCATGTGCATGATCATGTCCTACATGTGCTCTTTCCTAGTAACTGTGCCCCAAGTATGGGTTCCCCTCCTAGCTTCCAACTCACCCTTTCTTCAACTCCATCGTGACCCTAACACTGGTCCACCATCCCTTACCTTCCCTGTGTCCTGACCTCCCTCACCCACTTAGAGCCTTGGTTTAACATTATAATCATTCCCTTGCTCACACCTGCACTCTCTACCATTTCACCTGGGAATACCCCAACCCTGGTTAAATTCAACCCTTCACTCTGTCTATTCATGCTGCTGAAAGTGGCTGGAGCAGGGGGATCATGCTGTATCGTCCCACTATAAATTCATGACCCTAACCTGAGTGTGCCCTTCACACTAACCCAAAGACAGCCCATCCCCTCACCCACTCTCACACCTATCTGGGCCCGTTCTCAGCAGGTGACCCCACTGATGATTCCCTGAGAGCAGAGGATCAACCTGAAGAAAACTCTCCAGCTCCCTCCGGGATCTATGCAACCATCAGCATCTGTGCCCACAGGGTGGGCTTTCCCACTCCGTGAAGTGGCTCAACTCCTGCGCTCCTAAAACCAAGAATCCAGCACCTGGACATCCCTAGGAAGCAATTCCAGGCTTTCTGGTCTTTCAGCTTATGTCCTTTCTCTGTTTCAGGGTCCCACACTGCATTCAGATCGTCACAGTTGATGCTGACTATGTCTGTCCTCGACGACCTGTGGATGGGGGCCTGCATAGCACCTGCACACAGTCGGTGCCATAAGTCAACTTTCTGCACTCTGCCCCCAGTGATGTTTCCTTCATTTCTTGTGGCTTTTACATAGGAAACTGCTCAAGCCTAAAATCTAAATGTTCTCTGATTCATTTTTAACTCTACCTCTTCCTCATCATCTATCAGCAAGTTCTACTGAACCTACCCTCAAAATAAAACTCAAAAATTACTGCCACCTCCTGCTTGGAAGATGGCTTTCTCTCTTGCCCCACACATTTTTTCTTTTACTTTTTTTTTTAAGTAGGCTCCACACCCAAAGTGGGGCTTGAACTCACGATCCTGAGATTAAGAGTCACATGCTCTACAGACCAAGCCAGCCAGGCACCCCTACAATACTCCTTCTATACCAAACCTTCAAAAATGAAATGACACCAGGGGCTCCTGGGTGATTCAGTCAGTTAAACATCTGACTCTTGATTTCAGCTCAGGTCATGATCTCAGGGTCGTGAGACTAAGCCCAAATTCGGCTTAAGATTCTCTTGCTCACGCTCCCCTCCCCCGCAACCCTCTGCTTGCATGTGTTCTTTCTCTAAGAATATATTAAACTAGCGCCATTCCTGCCTACAGCCCTCTGATGACTCTATTATACTCTGAATGCAAAACAAACTCCTAACCCGAACCTACATAGCCTTCCAGGACTTGCCCCCTCCCTGTCACCTACTGTGATCAGACCACACTGGTGCCTCGACTCTCCAAGCCCATCCAGCTCATCCCTGAGCTAGGGATTTCACTTGCTGCCCCTCAACTGGAACACTGGAACACCCCCATTCCTGCAGGGCTGGCTCCTTCCGCTCCCTTCCTCAGAGAGGCCTGTGCGAACCACCACTCAGTCCAATCACCCCACTGCTTCCTGCACTGCGCTTCTGTTTGATGTCTCTTGTTCACTTTCTTCCAGGAGGGTGTAAGGTCAGAAACTTGACCCAGCAGGTGCTCACACAGGTGTTATACTCATGTCCAAACTCACCAAGCTGTACACTTAAGATCTGCATAAATTCCTCTAAATTATACCTCCACAATATGTGAAGACTAATCATAACCAAACAAACAAAATCTCTTAGAACATTTATTTGTCCTGTTCACTGCTAACTCTCCAGGTTCCTTGAGCAGCATGTAAAAGACAAACATTAAAAGAATTCCATGAGTATCTCCCTAATAACACTCCGAAGCTTTAAGGGAACAAGATCAGAAGGGAAAAAGAAATGAAGCACACACAAGGGCAGCAGCAGCAACACAAGGAAGTGATGGAGACAGAACTCCTTTACGTAAGGACATGAACAGAACACAGAGGGCATGCTTGTGGCTTAAAGTGCTGGTGTCACTAGAGGAAAAACCAATCAATGATGAGGTCCTATTGAGGCCTACCAAGTGCCCAGCACCAGGGGAGGGGGCCTAGAGGTAACAGTAATTTTTAAACAGTTCGAAAAACAAAGAGACTCTATGGAGAAGTAGGGAGAGAATAAAAAGGAGAAGCCAGCACCTCCTCTCCTTTATGACAATGAAGATCTTTCATTTATTCTGCCTGATAACTTGAACTGAATGGAATTCTTTCCCCAGCCATGCACATACACACAAGGCAAGAATTTCCTGGGTGGAAATGCAGGCACTCTGGCATGCACAACAGAGCTAAGAGCTGAAGCCTCAGAGAAGGAAGAAGACCCTTGTGCAGCAAGAAGGCTTACAGGACTCTGCAGGATCATGGACACCCTCTTCTTCTGCTCCATCATGTTGAAGTCCTGGCGAAGATCCGGTGCCATGTTCCTCTCTCGCAAGTACTCCGGGTTGTTTTCATCCACCCTGTCAAAGTACCGCTCCTTGTGCGGGGCGGTGGTCGGGGGTGGTGAGGTCACCACCGCGGCACGAGAGTCCCCATTCATGGCACAATCTTTCTCAGTTCCTACAGAATCAACATACAAGAAAGTCTTGTGTTTGAATCAATGTCCAACAGCATTTCATCACAAGCACATCAGCCTGGCAAACACAGCCTTCAGTGTGAGAACGTCAGGAGTGACTGAGTCAGAGCCATCACGTGCGAGGTATCTTTGTGGCCTCGGAGGCACACACCAGCCATCTCCCACCCTTCTACAGACCAACGGCATTTTTTGTCCTCGCCATTGTTCTTTGGCAGACAACAGGAAAACAAGCTCACAAAGCTATTGTATCCTCTGTCAAACTGAAAAAGAATTAGATACTGAATTTTTTAAAAAGAGTTTACTTATTTGTCAGAGCAAGAGAGAGAGCACAAGCAGGAGAGCAGCCAGGCGAGGGAGAAGGAGAAGCAGACTCCACACTGAGCATGGAGCCTGATGCAGGACTTGATCTCAGGAACCTGGGATCATGACCTGAGCTGAAGGCAGACACCTAACCAACTGAGCCACCTAGGCAACCCTAGATACTGAATTTTGACAAGATAGTTTAAGTCACGATCCTGTCCCATACAGAAAGGACCTACCAGGAGAAGCACAGTTCATTTCCAGAGAAATCTGATTTATGATATTTTCCTGAAAATGTGTTAGTAGTGATTTTGCAAAGGATTCTCCAAACGGATCAATAAGAAAGAAGCTACTCACACACCTAAATTCATGCAAACAGGAAATGCTCCTCATCAGATCACCTTTTCAGTTCAAAAAAGAGCAGGTACTGAAAACATCAACATGCACTCTTCTGTGACTAAAAGATGCCCAAATGACTCAAATTTAAAAGTCTATTATTATGGCTACTTACTTACACTCTTTTTAATCCCAATCTTTTCTTTGAAATGATGTTCAAATACTAAATTATATTCATCTTTAACTACTAAATCACTAAAGAGCACCCTTTACTAAGCATAGAAATAATTTCGTTTCTATTGTTGACAACTTAGTGTTTACTGAGCATCTACTACATCTCACCACTGTGCTAGGTACAAAAAGCAACAGGACACTGTGCTCACATTGGGGAAGCTGGGCTCCCTGACTCATGAGAAGGGAAGAGGGACTGGATCAGAAGTCATCAGCACAGAGACAACAGCAAACGTTGGAGAGGAGAGAAACTGGCTAGTGGAATGCATAGTGGGAAGGAACAGAACTAGCACCTGGGCAAGTCCCTAGCACTTGGCAGTATACAAAGAGACAATTTTGAATCAATTAAGAACAAGAAGGAAAGGAGGAAGAAACAAGGTGAGAAAGACTCAGGAGCCACAGGCAGAGTTTTGATGGTGAGGAAGAGTTCCTCAGGCCACACAGGATGAACAAGGAAAAGATTTTAAAGATTCGATTAAAGGAGCTATTTAAATGCAATCTGTGTCCCTTCCTTACACGGCACACAAATATTGATTCCAAATAGAGCACAGGCCTAAATGGAACAGCAAAATCTATCAAATTCTCAGAAGAAAACACAGGAGTAAATCTATGAGACTTCAGGTCAGGCACAGTTTCATATGACATCAAAAGGACAAGCAACAGGATGAAAAAAAGAGATAAACTGGACTTCTTTAAAAATGTGCTTCAAAGGACACATGAATAAAAAGACAGCTACAGAATGGGAGGAGTATTTGAAAATCATTTATCTTTGAAGAGATCTACACCCAGAATATATAAAGAACACTTACAACTTAATCATTACAATCACAATTTTTTTTAAAAAGCCTGGGGGCACCTGGGTGGCTCAGTGGGTTAAATAAAGCCTCTGCCTTCAGCTCAGGTCATGATCCCAGAGTCCTGGGATCGAGCCCTGCATAGGTCTCTTTGCTCAGCAGGGAGCCTGCTTCCTCCTCTCTCTCTGCCTGCCTCTCTGCCTACTTGTGATCCGTCTGTCAAATAAATAAATAATAATTTTTTGAAAAAAAGCCTGAAAACCATCCCGTGGCCTACAAGAACCAAGCAGCTAACACTGCCCACATCCCTGACGCACAGAATCATGAGACGTGAATAAGAAGATAATGACTGGGGGGGGGAGGGGGCCTGGGTGGCTCAGTAGGTTAAAGCCTCTGCCTCCGGCTCGGGTCATGATCTCAGGGTCCTGGGATCGAGCCCTGCATCGGGCTCTCTGCTCAGCAGGAAGCCTGCTTCCTCCTCTCTCTCTGCCTGCCTCTCTGCCTACTTGTGATCTCTGTCTGTCAAATAAATAAATAAAATCTTAAAAAAATAAAAAAGAAGATAATTACTTGGATCACCTGGGTGGCTTAGTCAGTTGGGCCACTGCCTTCAGCTCAGGTCATGATCCCAGGGTCCTGGGATCGAGTCCTGCAACGGGCTCCTTGCTTGGCGGAGCCCGATGCCTCTGCCTCTGCCTGCCTATGCGCTTGTGCTCTCAATCTCTCTCTCTGACAAATAAATAAATAAAAATCTTTAAAAAAAAAAAAAAGAAGAAGAAGAAGAAGATAATGACTTGAAGCTGGGAAGTACCAGCAGGTTTGCTGTGCTGTCACAGAGCATGGACACAATGGTGGGGAGGGGAGGGGAGTCCATTGGCTCTCACTTGTGCTCATGCTCTCGCTCCCCTGTATATGGATACACTCGTGTTTTCCTCACTTCACGGATGAGGGAACTCAGGTCACTCGGCTAGGAAGCAGCAGGACTAGGATTCAAACTGCAGGCCACCTGGCGGGTTCTTAATCTCTAAGCCACACTGTAAATAGTGAGGAAGACCAGGCAAAAGCTGCAGTGCGGGGGTACAATGGCCCCAAAGGGATGGGAAGGGAGGAAATCAAGAGCCTGAGATTCTGCATCTCTCAGGAGCTCCCAAGTCATACCGGTGTCACTGAACTTGGACCACAATGGGAACGCAAGGCTTTAAAGAAGAGTTCATTTAAAAAATATCTTATGGTACCAACAGTCAAAGAATCAGTTGGAGGAAACTCCCCCCCCCTTCTTTTTAAGACAGATCAATCTGGATATTGCTCTTCCGAAACCTAAAGATATGACAGAACTAACAGTATGCTTAAAGTAACACTATTTTAAGGACTGAAAGTATGAAAACAATTAGGGACTAAAAGTCAACACAGAATAAATAAACCAAGGACCTGGACGTAATCTTTAAAACTTACTCTTCTCTAAATGTATCCTCTAAATTTGCAGTTTAATTTGTTCACTTTAACCTAGTTTGTTCCTAAAGATTGATGCAAAGAACAAAACAAAGGTTGTCTGACATTTCTTCATCAGAGGGAAATGAAGCTGAACATCACGAGCCAATAACACAAAAACTCTACTTCAGTGTTTCAGAAACAAGAAAAGGGGAAGAACACACAGTACTGTTATTTCTCTATCACTAAACGAGGCCAATCTGAAGCCATTCTCACCAGAAAGTATGGACCCGGAAACACCCTCTTCTTGTCCCAGAGCTGACGCACGATGTCTTTGAAAAGTGAGATAAGGCAGAGACTGCTCTTTTTATGAGGAGCTGCTGTGTGAATGTGTCAGATGAGGACTGCAGTCTAGCTACGCACGTGTTCCTTCCTTCAATAAGAAGTCTATACACTTAAATCAAAGTACACATATTCTGAGCCCAGTAATCAAGAAAAAACATCATTCTATTGTTAAAGCACAAAACTGTACTTAGTTTTTGTCAGTTATGCCTTCAGGTTTCATTAACCTAGTTTTTAAGAGCATGTTAAGGCAGCCAAGTTTTCTAGAAAGATCTCTATAAGTAAGTTATTACTTAATCCAATTTTTTGGGAAAAAAAAAGGGAAAATGCAGATTTTAAAAAAATTTCTGGCAACATTAGAGTATTTTAAAAATTTTAAAAGGTATTAGGGCAACTGGGTGGCACAGCCAGGCATCCAGGTCTTGATTTCAGCTCAGGTCATGACCTAGAGGGCCAGAGACTGAGCCCTGCTTCAAGCTCCACACTCTGTAGGGAGCCGGCTAGAGACTCTCTCTCTCCCTCTCTGCCCCTCCCCCGACGCTTGCTCGGGCTCTCTATAAATCTCTTAAAACAATAACTGAAATGCCCACCTGTTAACATCTAACAGTATACAAGTCAATACTATTGTGACCAATATTTGTGACCAATATTTGGTCACAAAATCAATATTAAAATCTGCTCAATGCAGTATTATGAAGCTATAAAGATTTTTGGCAGGGCGCCTGGATGGCTCAGTAGGTTGGGCCTCTACCTTCAGCTCAGGTCAAGGTCTAGGGGTCCTGGGATTGAGCCCCGTGTCGGGCTCTCTGCTCAGCAGGAAGCCTGCTTCCTCCTCCCCCTCTGCCTGCCTACTTGTGATCTCTGTCAAATAAATAAATAAAATCTTTTTAAAAAAAAGAAAAAAGATTTTTGATATGACATACATAAAAGATTATAACATTTAAGTGAAAAACTATAAAATTCCCTAATCTTTTCAGTAATCCTATCACTACTATAATTACAATCACACAGACAAGATAATACAATGGCTAACTGTACTAAAGCTGAACAAACTGATTAAAGAAAAGTGCAGATCAGTGTTTCTCTATCTCGATATTCTAGCAAGCTGCTATCATTTTACCTGTATAAGAATTTTAAGATTTCACTAATCTTAATATGTCGCTACCTAAATCAAAGGAATCTCCGGGAACAATCCTTTCAAATAAACACATACACTCAACAGAACCCAAAAGTCTGGATGAACCCTGACAACCAACCCTGGTCTGTCCACATGAGAGCCCACACCCGACCGTGCCCACGTCACTCCTGGACACACAACAGCCTCCTAATTTGTTTCTCTACCTTGTCCCCCAACAACCCCCCACACCAAGCCATTCTCCCAGAGAGACCAGGAGTTTCAAAATTACGCCTAATGTCAGCACTCACTCCCCTGCTTAAAACCTGATGGCTAGGGGTGCCTAGGTGGCTCAGTTGTTAAGCGTCTGCCTTTGGCTCAGGTCATGATCCCAGGGTTCTGGGATCAAGCCCTGCGTCAGGCTCCCTGCTCAGTGGGA